CCCTAAAACCGTGATACAAACCGAACCGTGGGTTTTGTGAACCGTGCCACCCCTAATTCACACCAGCTGATCCGCACTAAAGTCCAGTTCATTTGACTAGCTCTGTACCGTGCCCAGGCGCAGTACTCTTAACCGTGCCCTGGCCCACTTGGAGAGGTGGGCCAGAGCACAATTCATAAGCATACCCAAACAAGACGTCACCAACCCAGGCACACAGCACGGCAGACAGACACAGCACTCTACTTGATGGGGCACAGATAATATAGTTTTATACTATTACTTATGTATTAATTAACCACAAACTAATTACTAACAGTTACTATATTTGTTTTTATATTTCTTAATTCTGTAAACCATTGTGAACTACTGAAGGAACAAATCATGAATAACACAAGTTATCAAATTGAGATGCATCTATCTCAAATAGGGACTAAATTTGTTCATGATTTGTACTTCAGCAGTAACTGAGTTATTACTATTTGTGCCCTGTAAAGTTAACCAGTAAATTAATGAACCAGTGAACCAATCACTAGTAAATGATAATAACCAATTATTATCAGTGAGATTGGATGGTTCACAGATGATCAGAGGATCAGCTTCGAGAACAGTTGTCCCAGAGATGTCCAACATCCTAGCTGGAGGGTCAGCTTTAAAAACCTGCCAAAAGTAGCCAGCCCAGCAGGTCACAGTGTCATTCGTAAGAACCGTCCCATCACCCACCCTGACTGCAAGTCTCTGAGGAACAGATTCAGATGTGGGTAATGACACATGCCACACCAGCCCCGATCCCCAACAGGCCCGACCCTATTAGCTCCCTGACGGTTTCGACTCTACAAGGGATGGGGCTCCTGAAGGCTTTCCCCCATCCCCTTCAATATGTGTGCAGCCTTTCTGTGGGCAGCTGCAGCAGAGCTACTCCTGTGGAGACCAAAAGGCTGTTGTGCCTCTTTAGACTTAACTGGTGTGAAGTGTTAGGGTTAGGGTTAGGGTTTTTGTGGACCGCTTGTAGGGCCTGATGCAGTTTAATGTCATACCCAGTACTCTGAACATACTCGGAACACAGGTTTCATACATAGAACTTGGTCGAGCGGTATCACAAGACTAACAGCAATTCAAAGGGCATCAGCATCCCAATAGGTCCGTTTGCTTTTGTGTCAGCCTATCAGAGACACGTCTTGATCCATACAAGTTTTAGCAGGTCCATTTTGTTTTGTCCTGTTCTGAGTTTTCAGTCGAGCTGCGGTTAGATTTTTCTCGACCAACCCATTCTAGTTCCAAATTGGTAGTGTTGAATGCATCTCGACCCATACAAGTTTTAGCAGGAATGGTCGAGTTCCAAAATTTCAGTCAAGGTACAAATGGAAAAAAATTCAAGAGGTCATCTGATGTCTGAGTTGGTCAAGTTAAGAGGTGCTTGAGTTCCAAGGTTCTACTGTACTTCAATATTAGTTCAAATACAAGAACTTGTGGGCATAGGTGGAAATTAGCGGGAAAACATTTTAAACTGAATTTGAGAAAGCACTTCTTTACACAGTGTGTGGTTAGAGTATGGAATAGTCTTCCTGTTGTAGTGCAAGCTAAAACCTTGGGTTACTTTAAATCAGAGCTAGATAAAATTTTAACAACTCTGAGCCAGTAATTGAGTTCTCCCCAAACGAGGTTGATAGGCCAGATGGCCTCCTCTTGTTTGTAAATTTCTTATGTTCTAATAATAGCAGATATATTCCAAACAAGCAGCTATTTGATTGGATGGGCCTATGTAAAAAGTGGATGGGCCAAAGCCTTCCCTGGCCCATCCACTGCTAAGCCCCTGCCTCAGCAGCTCCTGATCAACTGCTACCGCAGCACCATTGAGAGTATGCTCTCCAATAGCCTGGAATATGCTCTCCTATAGCCTGGAATATGCTCTCCAATAGCCTGGAATATGCTCTCCAATAGCCTGGAATATGCTCTCCTATAGCCTGGAATATGCTCTCCAATAGCCTGGAATATGCTCTCCAATAGCCTGGAATATGCTCTCCAATAGCCTGGAATATGCTCTCCTATAGCCTGGAAT